AAGGTTGCTTGATGACTTTGCTGAATTCTAGGAGGGATATACAGTTCCCAGCAGCGCCTCCTCCCGTTCTCTGTGCATTGTCTTTTGATTGACTACCATAACCTTCAAGCAATTATTCTCTCCATGTTATACTGTCTGGAGTTGAGGGAGGGAAGGAATGAGTGGCCCAGTTGCCAGCAATGCCACAATCCTAGGTCATGCCCACAGTTCATAGCCTCCCAAGATCACTGCACAGGAGTAAGACTATGGTCTTCATTTTATTGAGCTTCCGACTCCAGAGGTGAACTTGTTGCCTAAGGTTGAAGCACAAGTGGTGTGGCCACTGTGTAAGTCCAGTTAGTGAGGTTCTGTAATCTCCACTTGACATGGAGCAAGACTAGAGGCTCTATCCACAGGCATTGGCCTTCAATTACCTGCTGTTAGGGCCTTGTTGTTTTTAGTAACCCTGCACTGAATTGCAAGATGTGGTTTTGTGGTCACATTGGTACCCTGCTCTTTAGTGGATGGATTCTTGCTCCTTGCTCTTTGGGCAGGGTGGTGAAGGCAGTTTCCCTTGCCTGCCTAGGCTGACACTAAGCCAGGCTCACCTGAGTCCCACAGGCAAATAGACACCAGGTGTGTGTGAGGTTGGCCGTGATACAGGCCAAAATACAAATCCATCATACCAAGGTGCAGTTATTTACTGATACCAGAGTAGATCTAGAGGCATCATCTGCTCACACTGGCCTGGGGATAGAATCTTACTTGCTCTCATTGCAGCAGGAATGACACTGGCTTCTAGGGAAGCTTCTGAGCTCACATTCCTGCCCCCGCTCCACTGTGGTTAAAATGTTATTCTTTGCTGTGTGCCTAAGGTTGAGGATGGGATGGTAGAGGCAGTTCGTTGGCTGCCACCCAGGCTGACTCTAAGCTGCATAATTTAACTGCAGTAGTTTTAGGATTGCAACACTATGCCTGACCAAGACTGGCAGTCATGTCGACTGAAGCAGTTTTGCCCACCTGGGTGTGGGTCTCTGGCTAATGCTAGAACACATTTCGAGGCTCCAGCTGTTAGCATTTGCCTAGGAATACTGGCTGTGGGACTCCATCTGACTCTAGGCATGTTGCTGAACTTTGAGGTGAAGCCCTTGGCCACCTTACTCCCAACAACTGGAGTCTTGTTCTGTTGTCTCCCAGAGGTTCAGAGATGGGGTGCAAGGGATCAGTCAGGCAGTAATGGCCTTGGGTAGGAGACATGGGGGACTGTCTAGCACTGGGTTTCACCAAGGCAGGCATGTTACTGTTCTTTAAGTCCAAGGTCTAGGTCTCGGTCTAATCAACTTTTCCTCCATCAAGTGGGATTCATGGCATCTCTTTTTCATGTTGTGCTACTTGGAGCTGAGAGAGGAGTAATGTCGACAACTCTTTTTTTCCTGCCTATTCAAATGTGTTTTTCTCATTATTGTTCTAAAAGTAAGTGCTGTGATCTCTCACTTGGCTTCTTTTGTGCCAGTGAAGTTGGTTTGGTATGTGAATAGTTGTTGAAATTGTTTCTTTGTGAAGATGTTTGCTGAAGCATGTTACTCAATTGCCATATTGCTTTACCCTCCCTTCTGTATTTTCTTCCATTCTGGCTTGCAAATTTGCTTTTGTCATGAGTTCCATACTTCATTTACAGTCTTTAACAAATGAAGTGACCATTAAATGAGATATACTACTATCATTCTGTTTCCCGTCTTATCTTTCTTAAAGGTTTAAGTCTGTGATGTGCACATTATATGGTTTATTTTTTTCTTTTTTCCTTTTTTCTTTTGACAGGCAGAGTGGACAGTGAGAGAGAGAGAGACAGAGAGAAAGGTCTTCCTTTTGTCATTGGTTCACCCTCCAATGGCTGCCGTGGCCGGCACGCTGCAGCCGGTGCACCGTGCTAATCCGAAGCCAGGAGCCAGGTGCTTCTCCTGGTCTCCCATGGGGTGCAGGGCCCAAGCACCTGGGCCATCCTCCACTGCACTCCCTGGCCACAGCAGAGAGCTGGCCTAGAAGAGGGGCAACCGGGACAGAATCCGGTGCCCCGACCGGGACTAGAACCCGGAGTGCCGGTGCCGCAAGGCGGAGGATTAGCCTATTGAGCCACGGCACCAGCCCATTATATGGTTTAACAAGTTACATTTATTTTACCTAGTTACAGTTGTCATATTTGGGTAACAGTATCTAAGCAACATTGTTAATAAATATTTAGTCATTTTTTACTAATTTAGACATTTAGTGTTTATGCTAAGTTATTTACTGTATCTTAATGCTTTGGAATTTAGCAGTTCGCTGTCCTTGCACTGCTTGTTATTATTGTCAGTGGTGTTTTGTTTTGTCCAGATACTGATCGTTTTACCAGTTAGGTTGGCAGCAAATACTTATTCCTGGTTCATATTATCTCTCTGTCAAGGTTCAGGTGAACATTTTTTCTTTTTGCATTACCAAAAGTCCTAGGTAGGATCATTTCCATTTTGAACATTGTTGGTCTTCATGTCTGAGGGAAAACATGGTGTTATGTGTGTGACCATTACAGCTTCTGCTTAGATTTGACATGTGTCAGTTCCATGTTAAGGAAAAACTGCCCTGAATCTTCTTCTGTTGGTGGTCTTTAAGTGGGTTCATATTTTAAAGCATATATTCTCAGTTATAGATGATTATTGGTGTTTTTCTCATAGAGGTATAAATTTATAATATATTAAAAGACTTCTTAATACTGAATTTTTCCTTATTCCTAGAGCAACTTCTTTTTTTTTTTAAAGATTTATTTATTTGAAAGAGCTACAGAGAGAGGTAGAGACAGAGAGGTCTTCCATCCGCTGGTTGACTCCCCAGATGGATGCAATGGTTGGAGCTGCAGCGATCCAAAGCCAAGAGCCAAGAGCTTCTTCCAGGTCTCCCACGTTGGGTACAGGGGCCAAGGACTTTGCCATCTTCTTACTGCTTTCCCAGGCCATAGCAGAGAGCTGTATCAGAAGAGGAGCAGCCAGGACTAGAACCAGCACTCTTATGGGATGCCGGCTCTTCAGGGCAGGGCTTTAACTCACTGTGCCACAGAGCCAGACCCTCTAGAGTAACTTTTAAAGTTTCTTTTCAGTTGTCATGGTTTATTTTTCTTTGTCTCTTTGTGCTCCCTTTAATCTCTTAGCTTCTCTTTGAGCCATTTTATTTACTCTGATCACTTTGATTAGTCTTGAAATTATGCTGCTTAGCAAATCTTTATCTTCTTCTCATATCACTTTCCTGAACACAGGTCTTGTATCTGGTTGCCAGGTGGATGTCTCTACATGTGCATATTTGGTCCCAAGAATTTCAAACATGATTTGACCAAATTCTATCTCATCATATTCTGCCCATCATATTTTTGTCCTTTTATCCATTTCCAGTTGACAGCATTGATATCTACCTATCTGCTTATTCAGACAGCCTGGATTTAGTACTCCCCTGGGGCCAGTGCTGTAGCATGGCTGTAAAGCCTCTGCCTGCGATGCTGGCATCCCACATGGGCACCGGTTCAAGACTCGGCTGCTCCACTTCTGATCCAGCTCTCTGACATGGCCTGGGAAAGCAGTAAAAGAGAGCCCAAATCTTTGGGCCCCTGTACCCATGTGGGAGACCCAGAAGAAGCTCCTGGCTCCTGACTTCAGATTAGCTTAGCTCCAGCTATTGCAGCCATGTGAGGACTGAATCAGTGGATGAAGATCTCTCTCTCTTTCTCCCTCTCTCTCTCTCTGTCTTTGCCTCTGCATCTGCTTCTGCTTCTCTGTAACTCTTCTTTTCAAATAAATAAATAAATCTTCAAAAAAAAAATACTCCCCTTGTCCTATGCAGAGTAAATTGCTACCATACTATGATGCTGCTATCCTTTTCTCCCTATTATGATTAATTTGCTATTTTGTATTATTGCTGTACATCCTGATGTAGGTGGTCATGTCTCACCTTGTTTCTTTTCTTTTCTCTCTCTTGTAAGCCCTTCCCCACTATTTTTTCAGGAATTACTGTTTTTTTTTTTTTTTCCCCAAAGATTCATTTATTTGAAAGTCAGCTCTACACAGAGAGGAGAAGCAGAGAGAGAGAGAGAGAGAGAGAGGTGTCTTCCATCTGTTGGTTCACTCCCCAGATGGCCACAATGGCCAGAGCTGTGCCAATCTGAAGCCAGGAGCTTCCAGTCTTCCACATGGATGTAAGGGCCCAAGTTCTTGGCCCATCTTCTGCTTTCCCAGGCCATAGCAGAGAGCTGGATTAGAAGTGGAGCAGCCAGGTCTTGAACCAGCACCCATATGGGATGCTGGCACTGCAGGCGGCAGCTTTAACCACTATGCCACAGCGCCGGCCCCAAGAGATTACTGTTAAAACGCAAATCTGATCAAGTATTTAAATGTGGAATTACTAGGTAATCAGTTCTTTGGACTCGTTATTACCTCTCTCTCTCTCTCTCTTCAGTCTATCTAGGAAACACTCATCTAGACATAATGCTGTTTGTATTTACATTGATGTAGCTTATTTCTTGTACTTCCATGACAGTAGTTTTGTTATCTCATAATTACGAGCACACATTCTTGTAGAAGATCTAAATATCTTTGCCATTTCCATGAAACACAACCTTATAGTACTTCTTAATTTGTTACCTTGATTTATATTTAACTTGTGCTCTAAGTTCTTCTAACATGTTAGTCCAGGTATATATTTATACTTACTACCTTCATACTAGATCATAATCTCCTTGGAGGAGGAGAATTTTTATCTTGCTTTTATCCCTGGCAACAAAGACATTTCTATATCTCTAATGGAAATGTTATGATATTTTTAATCATTAATTAATTAGTACAGAGCCAATGTTTCTTCTGTGACCTTTCTTAACAACATATACAAGATACAAAACAAACATCATCTTATATTAGGTATATATAAGATACACACAAGAGTGAACTGTGAGGTTTCATGTTCTTGTGAATCCCAGGGATAATGAGTTTAGGAGAAATGTGCCATTTCAGGGGTTGGTGTCATTTGAGGATGTGACTGTTAACTTCACCTGGGAAGAGTGGCAAGATCTGGATGATACTCAAAAAGCCCTCTACAGGGATGTGATGCTAGAGACCTACAGCTGCTTGATGTCTTTGGGTGAGTAAAAATCTCAGTATTCCCAGGAGCAACACTGTTCTTAGTAAATATATGAATGCTTATAAGCTTTAATGCTGTTTAGGTATGTAATTCCAGGCACTAAAGAATTTTAACATTCACTCCTTTCCAGTAAAAAGTGTCACTGGTTCCTACATTGCACAACCCTAGAAACCATAATATTTTCATTCTTCGAAAGACCCAAATTAGCAGTTTGTAAAAAGTCCTACATTATTTTCTATTAACAGGGCACTGCATTCCCAAGCCTGAGATGATATTGAAGCTGGAGCAAGGGGAAGAGCCATGGCTGGTAGAAAACTCAAACGAGAGACTCTCAGGTCAGTCATTGCATAATGGGCAGGAAGGATGGGAAGAGTGGAGGCCAGCAGATACTGGTCATTTTGAGTTGTTCTCAGTAATCTTTTCCACCAGGTTCCACACCTGAAGATAGCTGCTGTCACACATCACATACGTGCATTGAACAATCTCCAAGGATGGCTCTCACGTGGAAACCTACCTCTCTGCCTTTTTTTGGTTGAGTATTTTCTTTAAAAAACCTCAATCCATCTGTCATATTTAGACTTTCACTTGATCAAATACTTTTTCTAAATACTCAGTTGACCTTTCCTCCATTCTAATGGACTTTCCCCCACTTGTTTATACATTAATTCATTCAATGCTTACTAATTGTGTAGCTTATAGGTGTTCAGTTGTTGGGATAGCAGTAGTCAGACAAATATGTCTCCTTTTAAAGGGATTTTAAAATTCTTTTGAGAGAGAATAACAGCAAATTTATGTAATTGTGAGATAAGAACCACAAGGAGTGTTTTCTAGGATGAGAGACAGAGAAAGTGGGATGTGCTGTTTTAAGAAATGCCCTAGGGAAGGCAGCTATAGAGTAGTTCTTTACTTTGCGCTACCTTGGTTTTGAGATGACTGTTTTCTAAGTTTGAAGGATAGGTGGATATAGTTAACAGTAGAAGGTGTACATCTCTATTGGAGATGCAACTTTGAAATACTGGTTTCAGACTAATAGTAAAAATAAAATCCATGTATTTACGAAAAAGTTATTTGTGGAACTAATGGGGAAGTAGATCAAAGTATGAGCTTTGTATAACTAGATATCAGAAATTAGTGAAGCTAGGTAGATTCAGCATAGGCAGATTTTTACTCTGATTTCCTGTTAACAGGGCAGTGCATTCCCAAACCTGAGGTGATCTCCAACTTGGAGCCAGAAGTAGAGACATGGTTGGGAGAATCCCCAGGCCAGAGCCTCCCAGGTAAGTCTTCATACTGGGTAGGGAGGCCAGAAAGAGCAGAACACAAGAACTGGCCATGTTGAGCTATTTCAAATATCTTTTTCCTGAGTTTCCAGAAGTCCTTGACATGGGAGGAGGACAAGGAAGAGATCCTGACTCTCAAACCCAAGTGAACCAAGGAATCATGTTGAAGGGCTCAAATTTCTGTCTCAGCAGTTTGATGTTATCATTTTCCCCTTTTCTTTGTAGAAAACTATTCCTAAAACAGCAAAAAAAAAAAAAAAAAAAAAAAGAGGACTTTATAAAAGCCTCCATTTTCTGTGTAACTAAGGAGAAACTGAATGTCCATGGAACAGAAACATTAAGAAATGAATTGTCAAGGAAGTGCTTACATGTAAGGAAAGGCTATGAGAATGTCAGGACTGTTGATCTCTAAAGGAGCCAGAAAGACTTTTCATATATGATGGTCACATCCTGGGTTGTGAAACCAATTTTTAGACTGGCTGTGATTGTTTGTCCAGGTTGGTTGAAAACAGATTCTTCCTGTTCCTGTTATGTTTCTGATAAGCAGAGGTTACTGTTTTAAATTAGGAATTTGGAAGGTGTCTTCATCCAGGATGGGGAGTGATTTTTTATTTGTAAGCCACCATAGATGCTCACAGCCATTCCTGTTTCCATCATCAAAGCTAGAGAATCAGAAAAACACCATAAAAGACCGATAAATAAGAAAATATAGAAAAACAACAGTTAAAATATAGGGTATGTGAAAAGCATGTACCTTAAAATTATAGTTAGGAAACTACATTTAGGTGTTAGGTGAATATTTTGACTGTTTCCTACAATATTAAAAAAAACTTAAGAAGAGAAAAACATAATTAAGCTTTGGAAAAAAAGGCAGAAATAATTTATTTTATTAGTAGTAGGGACAAAAATCTTTAATGCTAGCATAGGAAGAAACTTTCTTTATTTGAACATTCCGTAATAAATAGTTGGATCTGACTATGGCTATAATTATTATTTTTTTCTTATTTTAGATGTCCAGAAAGTGGATGATGTAATTGACACCAGCCAGAAAAGTCAAGACAGGCACTTGTGGAAAGTTGTAATCTCTAACAGCAACTCAGCAACTGAGCAGAGAGTTGAATTAGGAAAAGCATTCAATTTGAATTCTAACTGTATTTCAGAACTGATTATAAATAATGGAAACTACATAGGATTGGAGCCTGAGGAGTTAATTATATGTCAAAATATGAATATCTATAGTGAACCTGGAGAGATGCATGCTGCAGAGAAGCCTGATGACCATAAGAGAACTGGAAATGTTTTCAGACATCTTAAGTATATTGGTAAGCATCACAGTAATCAAAATAAGCAGCAGGAGTTTGAATATAGAGGACAAGTGAAAACCTTCAACACTGCGGCAGTGTTCTTTACACCTAAGAGGGTTCATATGAGAGGAACCTCATATAAATATAATGAGTATGAGAAAGCCTGTGATACATCAGCTTTCGTCATACAAGAGATAGCTCAGGTGGAAAAGAAAGCTTTTGAATATAGTATATGTGGGAAAACCTATATAAGGCCTAAACTGACCAACCATCAAAAAGCACCCATAAGAGAGAAATCCAGTAAATGCTCTGAATATGAGAAACCCTTCATTCACAGAGCATACGTTACAAAACATCAGGGAACATACACAATGGATAAGCCATATACATCTAATGAGTTTAGAAAACCTTTCAGTCTGAAGTCAAACCTCAGTAGAAACCACGGAACTGATGTAGATGAGAAATGCAATGATTATAACAAATATATGAAATATTTCTACCAGATGTCAGACCTCATTTTACAACCTAGAACAAGAGAGAAGCCCCATAAATGTAATGAGTGTAGGAAATCTTTCTACCGCAAGTCAGACCTCACTGTACATCAGAGAACTCACACAGGAGAGAAGCCCTATGAATGTAATGAATGTAGCAAAAGCTTTTGCCAGAAGTCGAACCTCAGTAGTCATCAACGAACTCACACAGGAGAAAAACCCTATGAATGTAATGAATGTAGTAAATCTTTCTACCAGAAGTCAGACCTTATTATACATCACAGAACTCACACAGGAGAAAAGCCCTATGAATGTAATAAGTGTAGGAAATCTTTCTCCCGTAAATCAGATCTCACTGTTCATCAGAGAACTCACACAGGCGAGAAACCCTATGAATGTAATGGATGTGGGAAATCATTCAACCAGAAGTCAAACCTTATCAGGCATCAGAGAACCCACACAGGCGAGAAGCCCTACGAATGCAACAAATGTGAGAAATCTTTCTACCAAAAGTCAAACCTTATTTTACATCAGAAAACTCACACAGGTGAAAAACCTTATGAATGTAATGAATGTAGGAAGTCTTTCTATCAAAAGTCAGACCTCACTGTCCATCGGAGAACTCACACAGGAGAGAAGCCCTATGAATGTAACGAATGTAGCAAAACCTTCTGTCGGAAGTCCTACCTCAGCAGTCATATGAGAATTCACACAGGAGAGAAACCTCATGAATGTAGTGAGTGTAGGAAATCTTTCTCCCGTAAGTCAGACCTCACTGTCCATCAGAGAACTCACACAGGAGAGAAACCCTATGAATGTAGTGAGTGTAGAAAAACCTTTTGCCAGAAATCACACCTCAGTATGCATCAGAGAACTCACACAAGATAGAAATCCTAAGAATGTAAATATAATAGGAAGTGTTTCAGCCGGAAGGCTTGAGAGACCTCAACAGGCTTGAGAGACCTCACTTAAGAAAACCTATTGCATAAACAACACCTCACTAGACTTCAGAGAGTGCTGGGAAGACATCTTGTCTGGCAACAGTTGCTATAGTTTACAAAACCCAGGGTTGTTGTTATTTTTTAGCCAATTTTTATTGGGCACCATGTAACAAAGTACTGCCAAGGAGTAATGGACATTATATCCAAGCCTGGGAGAAGAAAGAAGACCATGTGGTCCACTGATTTCTCATGCCCTGTGTGACTAATCTGTATATGAATGCCAGGGTGCCTTGCTGACCATATATGGTTAAAGGCCATTGTGAGTAAAGACAGAAGGAATGGCTTGTGGTAGAGATATACCCCATCTTTATTTTTTCTGTGCTTTACACCATATAGAAATAAATATTCTGTTGAGCCATTGTATTTGTGATGTGTTTGCATTATAACACACACAGTCCATTGTGCTTAATCCATTTATTGAAGAATCCACATAATGAATGATACCTGGGAGAAGTTTATAGCCTTTCTATATAAGAAAATTCCCGCAGGAAAGAAACCTGTGTTGTTAATTTTCAAGCCCAAATTGGGTGATCAGTGTGGTAAGATTGATAGAAATTTTGAGTAGAAACAGAAAGATACAAATTTTCATTTTGTTTTCAAGCAGGGCATCTCAAAACAGTAAATATGAGTATAGTATATAAAATTTTTAACAAGTATTCAACAAATGAATAGAATTTTATAATTGCTGGAAAGATTTTTGGTTGTCATGAGGTGGTGATAGATGCTACTGGTATCCAGTAAGGAGAGGCTAGAGAGGGTACTAAATTTTAGAATGCATAGAGCAGCCATCACAAGTATGAGGACTTGAAAGTGTTCCTGAGAAATGTATATTTTGAAGAAAATATGTGTAGATTTCAGAAATTCTTTAGCAAAACAAGCTATTTATCTGTTATAGTCCATCTGAATAGGGTCTAGTTTGAAGCGATCAGAAAGCTAAGACATTACTGTGAAGAGAGCCCCAGTCAGAGAAACTTGAATTCTGCTAATAATTGAAGAACAAACCTTAAATATATGGTGAATCATGAGTGAAAGAATGGTGGAATCATTGAGGCTGCACAAAAAAGTGTGGGCAATGCCCCCCCAAAACATAAATAGTTTACAAATAGGTAATTCGTTTTAAGAAGTGACAAGATGTTGAAAATTAAGCCCTGAAGCAGTACACTGTCCACAATTTCTTCTTTAAAGGTTAATCATATTCCCTCATTGAGAACTGATGATCAGTAGCAGAAAAATTAATAACAAAATAGACATTGCAGTTGATTCAGCATACACCATTCTGACAAGCTAGTTTTCTGTTTGATGGGTACCAAAACTATTAAACTCAAGTCAGCTACAGACAAGCAAAGCAATTAATGGAAATTTTAAGTAAGTGAAATTAAGACCCTGAAGCATTGTTTTTTGAAGACTTATGGTGGATTCCAACGTGGCATTACCTATATCCTGAATACAAAGCATACTCAAATCAGTGACTACCAAGAGGTAGATACAGTGGTCTATTCAAAGCAAAAGCAGATGACTCGAAAGCAAATATCATGGACACATTTTTTGAATGTGTGAGGAATTTTCCTTGTTGACTTTTCTGGAGGGCCAAGGAATGACAGTATCTATTTATTATGAGTGCTTGAAAATTTTAGCCAAAATTAAAAAAAAAAAAAAAAAAACCTGGGAAAATTTTGCCAGAGTTCTCTTTGCTAATGTTCCTATTTATCCCTGTCATCAGACAAAGGAGATTTTGTTGGAATTTTGGTGGGAAATCGTTAGCCATCCAGCTTATAGTCTTGACTTGAATCCTATTTTATTATCTGACTTGAAACACTTTTCAAACCCCATCCATATTTGTTCATTTACTAACTAAAAAAAAAAAAAAAAATACAAATCATTGATTTCCCAGGACTCTCAGTTCTCTAGGGATGAATTAAATTTCCATTATCAATTACAAAATGTCCTGAGTTTAATGGAGGTGATGTTGAGAAATGAAGTTTATATTGTCTCTTTCTATTTTTAGTATTTTAACTTTTTTTTAACATCTTTAAGAGTTAAAGCAGAGAGGGATAGATCTTCCAATTGTTAGTTTGCTCCTCAGATACCTGCAACAGCCAGAACTAGGCCAGGAATTTCATCTGGGTCTCCCACATGGGTGGCAGGAGCCCAAGGACTTGTACTATCTTCCACTGCATTTCCCAGGCCATTACCAGGGAACTGGAATGGAATTGAAGCAGCGAGGACACAAACTGGTGCCCATATGGGATGTTGGCATTGCAGGCTGTGGATTAGCTGCTATGCCACAATGCTGCCCCCTATTTTAGCTTTTAATTAATATGTCCTCAAGTTTTTTGAAGTCTCATTATATATTCAGTTAAGTAAATCTGTGCATAATTCCACTTTATGCCTGGATTATATATTCCATTTTATGGTTTTACCATTTTTTTTTTTACTCTATTCACAAGTTGTGAATATTTTTGTTCATGTTTTCTGGTGTTTGCCAAATGCTGCTAAGAACAATTAGTTATAGATTTTGTGCATTTATTCAACTTGAGAATATTACAGCACTGTAGTAGTGAGACTTCAGTAACCTAATCATAGCAGAGAATTAGACTTTTTTCTCATCCAGAATTCTTTTTTTTAACTTTTATTTAATATAAATTTCTGAAGTACAGCTTATGGATTACAATGGTTTCCCCCCCTCACAACTTCCCTCCCACCTGCAACCCTCCCATCTCCTACTCCCTCTCCCCTTTCATTCACATCATGATTCATTTTCAATTATCTTTATATACAGAAGGTCAATTTATTATAAAGATTTCAACAATTTGCACCCACACAGATACACAAAGTATAAAGTACTGTTTGAGTACTACTTACAGCATTAATTCAGATTGAACAACACATTAAAACAGAGATCCTACATGAGGAGTAAGTGCACAGTGACTCCTGTTGTTGACTTAACAAATTGACACTCTTGTTTATGGCATCAGTAATCACCCTAGGCTCTTGTCATGAGCTGCCAAGGCTATGGAAGCCCCCTGAGTTCGCCTACTCTGATCATATTTAGACAAGGTCATAGTCAAAGTGGACATTCTCTCCTCCCTTCAGAGAAAAGTAACCTTCCCTGATGGCCGGATGGTCGGTTCTTTCCACTGGGATCTCACAGAGATCTCTCATTCAGGTGTTTTTTTTTGTTTGGTTGTTTTTTTTTTTTTTTTTTTTTTTTTTTTTTTTTTTTTTTTTTTTGCCAGAGTGTCTTGGCTTTCAATGCTTGAAATACTTTCATGGGCTTTTTAGCCAGATCCAAATGCCTTAAGGACTGATTCTGAGGCCAGAGTGCTGTTTAGGACATCTGCCATTCTATGTCTGCTGTGTATCCTGCTTCTCATGTTAGATTATTCTCTCCTTTTTAATTCTATCAGTTAGTATTAGCAGACACTAGTCTTGTTTATGTGATCCCTTTGACAATCCTATCGCTATAATCAATTATGAACTGAATCTGATCACTTGGACTAGTGAGATGGCATTGGTACATGCCACCTTGATGGGATTGAATCGGAATCCCCTTGCACATTTCTAACTACCATTAGGGGTAAGTCCGAGTGAGCATGTGCTGAACTGTATGTCTCTTCCCTCTCTTATTCCCACTCTTATATTTAACAGGGATCACTTTTCATTTAAATTTAAATGCCTAAGAATAATTGTTAAAGAGTTCAACCCATGATATTAAGTAGAATGAAAAAATACTAAAAGTAATAAAATAGTAAGTTGTTCCTCGACAGTCAGGACAAGGGCTGATCAAGTCACTGTTTCTCATAGTGTCTATTTCACTTCAACAGGTTTCCTTTTTTGTGGTTGGTTGTCACTGATCAGCAAGGACATATGATACTTGTCCTTTTGGACTGGCTTATTTCACTCAGCATGATATTTTCCAGATTAAAATCTCAATTTCATGGGAAACATTTTCATTCGTCTCCTGTATGGTTTTCTTAATTCATGGATTGTTTCTAATTACTTATAAATAATCCTATGATTAATTTTTTGAATTCCTTTTCTGGCATTTCTTCGTTCTGTTCATCTTCACATTTTAGTATTGAAGTATTGTGTTCTTTTGTGAGTGTCATGTTATGTCCCTTATTCTTGTTTTTTGAATATCTGCATTTATTTTTAGGCACTTGTGGAGACACTTATAATGTAAGGTTGTTTTTTTCCCCTCCTCTGATGGCTTTTCTCTTTGGACACTGCTTCTGTGGCTTATTAGTGTCTACTCTTTCAGTGAATATCTAGAGGTATGTGCTGGTTGTGGCCAGGGAGTTCTGTTCAGAGCTCCAGGGTGAGGGGAATATCCATTGTGACACCCAAGTTGGGTGTGGGAAATTTCTCTCTTTTTAATCAGGGGGGAGGGTTTGGTCAGCTCTGTTTATATAGTCTCATACTCACCTTCTCCTATTAGGAGACCAGTGTCTGGATGCTAGCCCCAGTGGGTGCAATATTTGTCTATGTTGCCACAGGCATCACATAAACGATCTGTGCAGTTCTCAGTCTGAGCATGAATTCCACAGCAATGACCCTCACCAGAGAATCAGAGAGCCATGAGTGTGTGGAGCCACCCACGGCGACTGCCCAGAGTCCCAGCCACACCCTGTGCCCTCCCACACAGCCAGTATTTTCACAGTCCTGGCACATAAGACTCCCACAGTCAGGAGCACCCAGCCCCCTGTCAATTCTCCAGCATCTTCTCTCAGCAGTAGCTGGGCATGCTGACATGAGCTGGCACAGCTGTTAAGTATGTCTGAAGTGTCCACCCTCTCTCAGCTAGTAACAGGACACTGGTGCTGGGTGGTCAAGGAGACAGAAGCATAATCTTTTTTTCCCTCTAGGTTGGCAGGTACACTGTCCCCCACAGGGCTCCAAGCCAGATTCAAGCCAGGCTCTTCCCGTAGCTTTATCGCCAGTAGCTTGGGCTGCTGTAGTCTGGTTTCATCTCTCCAAAGCTGGGTCTGAGGCTCTTGGCTGCTGGGCTTCTGTGTTGTGTCTGTGTTCATGCGGTATATCCATACCCTCCACAGAAACCCAGTGTCCAAAATTTGAGTGGAGTTTCCTCTGCAGTTTTCTTCCAGCTCTTCCCTGAGATTCAATCACTGGTGTTTTGTTGCCAATGTTTATATCTGTGGTCATTAGGGATATTGATCTTTCATTCTCTTGTTATATCTTTGTCTTTTTTTTTTTTTAAAGATTTATTGATTTGCTTGAAAGAGTTACACAGAGAAGGGGGGGGTGATCTTCCATCTGCTGGTTTACTCCCCAGTTGGCCACAATGGCTGGAGCTATGCCAATCCAAAGTTAGGAGCCAGGCACCTCCTCCAGGTCTCCCATGC